CTAATCTCCCAATACCCCTCCCCCTAGCAACCATGAATCTGTTTTTGTCTCTATGGATTTTCCCATTCTGGACTTCTCATACAGAGTTGATTTTCATTATTCATGGTAGTTATATTCTATAAAGTCTCCTTGAACACTGAACCATGGCTCCTGGGAAGATACAGGATTAGGGTCCTGTGAGCCTCTTAATCATGTTTTTATCCACCGAGCAATACAAACCTTTGTGCTATATGTGTTTCTATTTAAAGACATTACCAGTTCATAATGTTGAACTCACAGCCAAGAGCATTTTCCACATAAAGCACATCACACCCCTCTTGCACTGAGGAAAATTCAACAGCACTCCTGCACAATGCTTGGGGTCATTTTCATCAGTGACATAAGAAAAGCACAGGCAGCTCCTGGGAAGAGGGCAGAGCAGGGAGCACCAGGAATCTCTGCCCACCGGGCAACGACCACATGGCAGAATCTGTCTGATGGGACTATTTGGGGACTGTGGTGTCGGCTGAAGGCTTGCAGCTGTCCAGGAGAAGTAGTCAGTTTTGGTCTCTTCTAGCTCCCAGCACAGAGCAGCTACCCAGCCGTGCAGCAGGTAGCCGTGCACGTGTTTCTGGGGCAGCCTGCAGACGCCAGGTGGGCAAGAAGCATCCCATCCTCCAAAGAGCAGGAGTCTAAGCTCTGACCACTGCCGGCTGTTTCTGATCACACAGGTGCAGACACAGAGCCTGGCCGCCGTTGCTGTCGGCCCTCCAGCTCCAGTGACTCCAAGGGCATTGGAAGGGCGAGGGCCCCCTTGTCCCCCTTTTGCTTTTCACTTTTCCCCTTTTGGGAGCCACAGGGTAGGACATTCAAAAAGAGCTGCATACGTGGGAATTAGGAAGGGACCACGCGTGCCCAAGGAAAGGCTCAGAAAAGCCCTGAGAAGACATTCAGTTTACACCTCAGGCTGGTCCTCGGCACAGACACAGCCCGCAACCATCAAAAGAACGATGACAACAAAACAGCAAACCCTGGGGAAGGGGGAGAATCTGATTTCCAGAGTTACCACATCATGAGATTCGAATGTCTGGTGGTCAGCCAAAAAATCACAAGGCACAGAAGGAAACAGGAGAGTCTGGCCCACTGAAAGGAAAAAGAGAACTCAACAGAATCTGTCCCTAAAAAAGACCTGAGGTCAGATCTACTAGTTAGACTTTAAAGCAACTGTCTTAAAGATGCTCAAAGAACTAGAGGAAGATGTGGATAAAACCATGAAAAAAAAAAGTATGAGAAAAATGGAAATATCAATAAAGAAGTAGAAAATCAGAAAAGAAACTCAAAAGAAGTTCTGGGTGTTATAACAACTAATGAATCATTGAACACTACATCAGAAACTAATGATGTACTATATGCTGGCGAAATGAACATATGAAAAAAAAGAAGTTCTGGAGCTGGAAGTACAGTAACTGAGATGAAAAACTCACTAGAGGGATTCAAAACAGATTTGAGCAGACAGAAGAAATATCAGTGAACTTGAAGACAGGACAGTGGAAATGATTAACACTTTGGAATAGAAAGTACATGAAAAAAAAACAAACAAACAGAGCCTAAGGGACCTGTGGGACACCATCAAGAGCACCAGCATTCACACTGTGGGAGTCTAAGGAGGAGAAAGGGACAGAGAGAATATTTGAAGAAATAATGGCCAAAAACCTTCCTAACTGGTAAGAAAGACATGAATATAAAATTCAAGATGCTCAGCAAATTCAAAGTCAGATGAAGTCAGAGAGACCCACTCGGAGACGTGTTAAAATCAAACTTTCAAAAGACAAAGAGAGAACCCTGAAAACAGCAAGAGAGAAGAGACTCATCACATCCAAGGGATCCTCAGTATGATTATCTGCAGATTTTTCATCAGAAACTTTGGATTTCAGAGAAAGTACACCAATATGGTCAGAGCTATAAGAAGAAAAACCGAGAATCCTATCTCCAGCAAAACTGTGCTGCAAAGTGAGAGAGAAATCAAGTCATTGCCAGACAAACAAAAGCTGTGGCAGCCGGTGACCACTGGACCTTTCCTGCAAGAGCTGCTCCCAGGAGTCTGACAGGCGCAAGGGAAGGACTGGAGACAGCAGCGGGAAGCCATGCACGGAGTAAGGACTCAGGGAAGGCTAACACATGGCCAATTATAAGAGCTAAAAACCTAAATGTAAGACCTAAAACTATAAAACCCTTGGAAGAATACTTAGGACAAATGCCTCAGGACATTGGATTTGGCAGTGATTTCTTGGATTCGACACCAAAGGCACAGTTAACAAAAGAAAAAATTGACAAATTTGACTTTGTACAAAATTACAAATGTTGTACATCAAAAGACATAATCACAGAGGAAAAAGGCAACCCACAGAATGAAAGAAAATCCTTGTGAGTCATATATCTGATAAGGGATTAACATCCAGAATATAAAGAACTCCTGAAGCTCACCAACCAAAGAGAATCTGGTACAAAAATGGGCAAAGGACTTGAACAGACGTCTCTCCAAAGAAGATGTAAAAGTGGCCATTAGGCACTGAAAATATACTCGACATCACTAAATATTAGGGACTTAGAAACCAAAAGTACGAGAAACCACCTCATACTCATTGTGATGGCTACTAGGGGGCACCTGGGTGGCTCAGTTGGTTAGGTGTCCGACTCTTGATCTCAGCTCAGGTCTTCATCTCGGGGTTGTGAGTTCAAGTCCCGTGTTGGGGGGAAAAGAAAAGATAAAAAGAAAATCCAGAAAAAAACAGGTGTTGGTAAGGATGTGGAGAAACTGGACCCCTGTGCACTGCTGGGGGGAATGCAAAATGGCGCAGCCACTGTGGGAAACAATATGACAGTTCCTCAAAAAGTTAAAAACAGAATTACCATATGAAGCAGCAATATATATACTACAGGGTATATACCCAAAAGAATTGAAAAGAGGGTCTCAAAAAGATATTTGTCTCACGTTCATAGCCACATTATTCACAATAGCTAAAATGTGGAAGAAACCCCCATGTTCACTGATGGATGAATGATGAACAAAATGTGCTCTGTCCACACAAAAGAATAGTATTCAACCTTACAAAGGAAGGAAATTGTGCAATATGATACAACACGGATGAACCTTGAGGACACTATGTTCAGTGAAACAAGCCAGTCACAGAGACAAATACTGTGGGATTCCACTTTTATGAGTTTCTTAGAGGGGTCACAACCACACAGACACAAAGTAGGGTGGCGGGTGCCGGGCAGCATAGGGAGTTAGTTAAAAGACAGAATGACTCAGTTTTACAAGATGAAAAGCATTATGGAGACAGGGTGGCGATGGTTGTACATCACTATGAATGTATTAATGCCCCTGAACAGTACAATGGCAAATTTAATGTTATATATATTTTACCACAATTAAAAAAAAGAATACGCAGAAAAAGTGACAAATAGGACACTGCATGGACTGTGAAAAGGACACGTTTTCCAGCCTGAGAGCAGAAGCAGGAAGGAGTAGCGCCCTTTCTGATCTCAGCTGCATCGGCCGCTGACCCTTCCCCGCTCTGCACTTCTGCAAATGGCCACCCAAGGGCCTGGAGTACTGATTTTGGGCGACAAACGAACGTGAGTGACTTCACCTTGGAGGACAGACTGTGAAGGGAGCCCCATGACAGCCCCACGACATTGGCCTGTACGCCCGGCTGCTCTCATCTCCCATTCTCTCCAAGGTACCTGCATGCTGTGTCTGTGACCCTTTGGCCCCTCAGTCCGGTCCCACGGCACATCTAGTCTGTCCACTTGCCGGTCTGCAGCCATTGCGGACAGTGCTGCCATGAGCAGCCCTGCACAAATTCTGGTGGGGGAAGATGGGTCCCACATCCTGGTGCTTTGGTGAAGGGACATTGGTCTGGAGTTTTACTGTGATATCTAGGTAGGTTTGGGGGAAGAGATTAGTAGTAAAGTATTTTTCCTAAACCTAACTGTGGGTTTACTTCAACATCTGTTAGACTGATGACTCTTCACTTGGGGTAGTAATATAGTTTTCTCTTAACGGACACATCAAGGTTCACAAAGTTAGTAAGCGAAGGACAGAGTGGATGTGGCCACAGTCAAGCCATGAAAACGGCATTATGTGACTGACATCTCAGAACCTGTGCTGTAGGAAAAGGACTTGGGACTTGGGTGTCACCTCCCAGGGTAGGCTCAGCAATGCCCTGCCTATGGATGGACACTCACACGGTTATCAAGTCCATCCTGAACACGGAGGGCGTCAAGATGGCGCCTGCTTCCTACCATCCACAGAAACACAACTGTCCCTGCCTCTCCCACCTGAACCAGCCTTTACAGTGACCGTCCACTGAGGATGGCGAGAACAGAGCCCCAGTCTCCCCACGGATGAGATCATGAGGCTGGGCTTTGTGAATGTTAGGGGCACTTTCCTACTTAAGTCTGACAACTACCTGAGGTGGGCACTGCTGTCTCATTTTACAGACCAGAGCATGAAGGCTCAGTTGGTCACAGAGCCAGTGACAAGGGGCTAGAAGTAGGGTCTGAACTGAGGTACCCCCAGGCTCCTTGCTGTCACATGACAGAGAAAGGCAGGGGTTGCAGGGAACATGCTCACACTGGAAACCCAGGGGGTTCAGAAACCCTAAGCCAGCCAGTTAAACTTTGGGCTATTTCTCTGAGGACAGTGGAGAAGGGACAGTAAACAATTAAGACAAGATGCAGGGCCTCAGCCAGCAGGCTGAAAAGAGGTGAAGGCATCTGACCTTCCAGTGGGAAGTTAACACATTCCCACTTGCAAACACACAAACCCGGAGCTTCCTGGATCACCTCAGCTTCGGTGAATCAGCCGCATGGGGCACCAAGTGCCACCAGCACTTGAGAGAAGAGTGGCCTTGGTAGGGCCTCCGTCCCCAGCCCCGCACGCACGAGTCCAGCCTGTGTGGCAGATGACAAAGCCTGTGTGCAGATCTGTAGCCCACACACTGCTCCACACTCACCTTGTGAGCAAACACCACGACCTTGGACGGCCAGGGCAGCCTGGGGACCGTGGGGTTTGGCGCCTGGAGAACACCTGATGAACACAGGGAAGCAGAAAGACAGGACAGAGAACAGGCTGAGGGAACATGAGGTAATGAGGCAGAGCAGCTTGAAACCAGGCTGCTCTGAGAGGCTGGTGTATGAACAAACACGGGAGCGATGTGAGCGGCAGAGCTCCGGGCGGGGCAGTGGGCCGCAGGGGTGGCCACAGGGAAGGGGGACAAGAACCAGAAGGCGCCGGAGGCTGGGGCCGGGCCAGGGGCAGCAGAGGCAGCAGAGGCAGCAGAGCGCGCAGAGGCCCAGCAGCACGGGGCCAGCGACGGAGCAGACGTCACCGCGAGGAAGTGACAGCTGCGCGGGCTTCTCGGTACCATCAGCAGGACACCGAGCTCAGCAAGGCCGCAGATGCAAAGCTGTCTGATCTTGCGCCAGAGGACCAGTCAGAAAGGGAGGTCAGCGGATCTCCTGCAGTCCCTTCCATCAGTACAGACAAACTCAAAGAGCACGGACTGCCGGCCAGCGCTCTGGGCACCTGCAAGGGTGGCCTATTTATCTCAGGATGACCGGAGGGGCACGCATGCGCAGGAGGGACCGCGGCGCCCTGCCTGCCTTTAGAACCAGGCACCTGGCCCCGCACCTCCTCCTGCCCCGAACACTGTGGCTACTGCCCCCAGTGTGTGCTCAGGCCCCCTCTCCCCACCGTGAGCAGTAGCTGTCACTCTGCGAGTGACCCCGAGGCTGCTCTGTCCCGTGCAGGCGCGCCATAGCAGCGCGCTCGCTATGGGCACAGAAGGTCCAGTCATGACCCAGTCAACCAGGAAATGCCATTTTCCAAACGTCAAGCCTCACCTACAGGTGGCTCTTCCCTTCAGTATTTTATTGTGAAATGTGAAGATTCTCCCAAGTTTAGAGATGAAAAGATGCAGTTCTGAGAAGTGAGCAACACAAGGACCCACTCTGACTCAATGGCAGGGCACCTTCCCTTTCAACCATTAACCTACATTAGCAGCTTATTTTCCCATAAAATGATACTGTTACAGCAAAGCTAGGCCCTCAGAGTGAAAAGTTAACCAAAGTCATAATTTAAAGCTAGCATCATTTTCCAATCCTAAAAAGACAGTGGAAAACACACACTAGCAACCACAAGCTTCATTCTTTGGTTACTGGCTAATGCCTTTTTGTTAGTGAACTCCCTTGCTTCCAGTTAAAACATGAAAGCATCAATATTATTTTTTCCTCATTATTTAAAAATCAGAAGTCAACACTACTGAAGATGGAAAATGCATTTTAAATTTTTTAAGCCTTTCTAATAAATTAATGTTGACCAAATAAACATTACTTTCTTTCATCTGCCCCAGAGCCTAGAAATGAGAACCGTATGGCTCTGTCCTGACAGATGACAGTGGGAGCTGCATGTGTGTGATGGGCACTGAGCAGCGTCCCCCCCGCCCCCCGCCCCAGTACCTCGTTTCTGGATGAAGACCCGGAGCAGAGGGTTTGCACTTGAGACCGCCTTGCAGAAGTTGTCATCGTTGTTGATGGGCAGCAGGTCCCCGTGCACGTCGGCATAGCCGATGGTCACATCAGTGTTGGAGATGTGGTGCGTGTGCACAACCAGCTTGTAGAAGTCTTCAAATTTCCCCGGCTTGTGACGGTCCAAGGAGAACCTTCGGAACTCAGCCCCAAACTACAATGCAAGAGACAGGGAGTAAATGAGTGGCGGATAAAATACCAAAATAAGGCTTGTTCACTGAATGACATGTGTGTGCCATCCATGAGGCCTGGGACACAGCGGCGGACAGCGTCCTTGCCCTCACGGAGCTTTGTGCAAAGACAAAAGTGTGGGAATCAGTTCCACCAACACTGAGGACAGGAGAGGTGCTGGAGCCCGGGCTAGAGAGGAAAAGCAATGTCAAAATTAATTACGAGGATGGTGGATGAAATGAAACAGGAGCCTTGGTGAGGGTCTTCACCTGGGGTGGCTGTGCAGGCCCAGGTTAGGGTCTGAACAACCCTGAGGCAGGGTCAGATGCCTAGAGGCAGGAGCAAAGCAAGGGCCAGCTGAAACCTCTGGACTTTTTCCTAAGAGCAATGGGTAGTCCTGTAACAATTTTAAGCAAGAAACTGATTTGATACGATTTGCATTTTTAAAAGACCAAATGGCTATACTTCAAAAGGATCAGAAGCGGAAGCAAAAGTGAAGGAAGGAAGGAAGGAAGGAAGGAAGGGAAGTGGTAAAAAGGAGGTTTCAGAAATCTCGGAAGATAGGGCCCTGGTACTGGCCAAAAAGACAGAGCAGATCTCTCCCCCAAAAAGATGGTATTCAGTCTGTCTGTCCCAGGGAATGCCCAGGGCCCATCTTTCCTGACAGTCCCTGGCCTTGGCTCAGGTGCCCACGCAGTCCTGTGCTGGGAGAGGACCCTAGGTCACCTCCCACGGGCTGAACCATCCTGGGATCTGAGGACACCGCGGTTTGGTCTAAGGTTTCTGGATTAGGACATGCTGTTGTTCCTTACTTGGCAATAGAGACCTTTATTCATCAGGACAGATTCAGTGCTCTTCAATATAACTGAAAACTAATTATAGTGGTTCCAAAATACACATAAATGAAACGTCTAATGTTTATACTAAACGAGTCATTATATCATCTAGACATTATGTCAACTAGTCAAGGGCAAATCAACTCAAACCATGTGGGTTTGTGTGGTTCTCAAACTGGGCCGGCATCAGAGTACCTGGGGGCCCCCAGAGATCTGGACTGGGCTGATCTGGAGACCAGCCCAAGAATTTGCATTTTTAACAAGTTCCCAGGACAAGCTGATGCTGTCGGGCTGGGGACCGCACACAGAAAACCACTGATTTTAAGGGAATCCGTCTCCAAATCTCCACGTCCACAGATCTCTGAGAACCAGAGTCTCCTGTTCCATTCCTCTTTTTAAAAAGCAAAAGAAAACAAACTCCTCACCCATCCTGCATTGCCCCAGGAATAAAATACTTCAAGGCGCACAACAGTGGGACATTCCAAAATACGGGTTTGGGAAAAGCCACCTTCAGTGAGTAAGCAAAACTCCTAAGGCCTGCCTCCCACATACTGGGTAAGGGAAGGAAGGGCTCTGAGCTCAGCGCAAGGGGCCAAGGTGAGGCTCTCCCCCATCCCTCTGCTGTTGGGGGTACACAGCACAGCAAACCTGGAAATCCCTCCCCGCATTATTTAAAGATAAGCGATATAAAGATTCCCGATATTTATTCCAAGCATGCAGCATTAGCTGGCCCAGGGTGAGCAATATGGAACCTCTCATACACAGGGGCTACGTCCTGTGGCCACAAAACTTGTCAAGACACAAGAACCCAAGCCTACAACATACATTTAATGTGATTTTTTTTTTCAGATTTGGTTATGTCAGCACATCATGAATCTTTATTTGAACAATAGCCATCATCTCTGCCATCTCATATCTAATACAAGTTAACTTCCAGAACAGTTAGTTTTTATCCGTATACACCCTCTTTTCATTAAATACGTAAAGAGAGTTGGATGGTGTCTAATGAAACTAGTGAGTGTCTCTGACTTTCACGATTACTCCCCCAAACTGGACACCACGCACTTGCTCTAAGGGACTCCGGCTGCGTCTGGAGTGAGAGTACTCCTGCTGGACTCAGGACATCCCAGCGTGAGCATGAGAATCAGCACATTAGACAAGCCCGTTCTGCGATGTTTCTGTTGTAATTGCATTTGATCTAAGACACATCTAAGTTATTTCTCACTTCTAGTAGTTTTCTTCAAAATACGTCCTAAGGTGTTGACTTGAAATGAAAATCCAGACTTCTTCCTGATAGAAAGCAAGTCTGACCTGTTTGATAACGAGGCTGACTTTATTAAGCCAGCAGGATGGTGAACACGCTTTATACGTTGAATGAACCTCCAAGTTTAGCAAAAAGAGGTATGAAATGGGATATTAGCATTTTTCCTATATTTTATTGTGGCAAAATACACATAATATAAAATTTACCCTCTGTGCCAGGTCCCCACCATCCATGTGCCTTTTTATCCTGTGAACTGAGTCTGTCCCCATTAAATATGACACCCCAGCCCCTCCCCCAGCCCCTCGCCACCACCTATTCCAGGACTCCAGGACTGTGACTCCTCTATGCACCTCACACAAGTGGAATCATACAGTTTGTCTTCTTGTGACTGGCTCGTTTCCCTGAACAGGTATGTGACTTCTCCCATTCTGTGGGTTGCTTTACTCTGTGGACCCTGGTCCTTCCAAGGGGAAGTGTCACGGCTGTGGTCAGGGCGCTATAACTTGTCTGCTAACCCAGAAGCAGGTGCCCCAAGAGGGTCCTAAGAATTCATGCTTGAGTACCCTATCACTCTTCTATGCCAGAAAAACAGATAAATTAAATTAAACCTTCTTTTTCACAGAGCCGTGAGGCTCGATTTGTGGAGAGTATTTCTACATTGTCGTCAGTGGGTATGGAGTTCTAATTCTGCAAGATGGAAAGAGTCCTCACACGTTCACAACAATGTGAGTGGAACCAACCCTGCTAAACTGCTCAAAAGCTGGCTGAGATGGTAAATTTAATGTATGTGTATTTTACCAAAACTATAAAGTAATATAAAATAGATTTTTTACTGTAAAGGTTCTAGCCTGAGTCACTACAATTATTAAATCACAATTAGAACACAGTTACAAAATCCCATAATTATTAAACATCCAAAGTAAACATTTAAAAAATCTTTCACTGAATGAAAAATGTTTAATGCTACACGAGGCAAGTGTAGCATCGGCTTTTTGGCTACTTCTGGCCGTGAATGTCAGCACTGAGAAGCCTTCTCTCGGCAGCAACAGATGGGACTGAGGGCTCTGAAGGCATGCCAGACCCCAGCTCTCTGACTCTTGGCAAGTAATGTGCCCAAAGTAAATAATCATATCATTAAAATTATTTTTAATAATCTATTAGCTGACAATTTAATTAGGACAACTTTTAATGCCGTTGAAAGCAAAGTACTGGAAACAACTGGACTTGCAAGATTTCCTGCCCAATCCTTGGAACAATTCACTTTTTCAAATTCTGTTAAGTTCATCAAGAATTATATGACAATGAATTGTGCCTGCTAATTATTGCATCTAGAGGAAACTTGTGTAATCTGATATAAAGGGGAAGTAAAAATATAAGACTAGTACCCCATGCCATTAATTTTTTAAATAAGATGCTTTTATCACAATGAAGTTGGATTCCTACGTGACACCATTACCAAGAGTCATTCAAAATGGGTAAATGACCTAAATGTAGGACCTAAAACTATAAAATTCTTAGATGAAAACTTAGGGCAAAAGCTTTAGGACACTGGGTTTGGCAATGATTTCTTGGATATGATGTCAAAGGCACAGGTAACAAAAGAAGAAATAGACATTAGACTTAGGGAAATCCACCTTTTGTGCATCAAAAGACATTAGCCACAGAGGGGTGGCTCAGTCAGTTAAGCACCTGACTCTTGGTTTCGGCTCAGGTCATGATCTCAGGGTCCTGGGATCGAGCCCTGCACTGGGCTTTGCGTTCAGCATGGAGTCTGTTTGTCCGTCTCCCTCTGCTCCTCCTCCCACTCTCTCTGTCTCTCATAAATAAAATCTTTTTTTTTTTAAAGGACACTATTCACAGAGTATGAAAGCCTGTAAAATAATACTCAGAATATATAGAGAACTTCTAAGTATAAAATGGTATATATCCATACAATGAAATGTTATTCAGCCTTAAAAAGGAGGGATATTCTGGCACCTGCTGCCACACAGTTGAGCCTGGAGGACACTGTGCCAAGTGATGTGAGCCAGCGCCGTGGGACTCCTCTTGTATGAGGTCCTGGAGCCACCAGATCATGGAGACAGAGGGCAGGTGGTGGTTGCAGGGAACTGGGAAGTCATTGCTTAATAGACTTTGGGTTTCACAGGACAAGAGAGTTCTGGAGATGGTGGGGACAGCTGCAAAACACTGTGAATGTACTTAGGGATACTGAACTGCACACATAAAATGGTTAAGTGGCAAATTTTATGTGATGTGTATTTTACTACAATAAAAGAAATGGAGGGGAATAAGATGTCCACAGGAGGCTGTGAAAAGCTCTGATTCATTCCTATGATACAGACGGACACACACTATGCAGGGCTGTGTATGTGATCAGGAAAGGCCCGAGAAGGCTAAAATCTCTCCCACCTGGCTGATCTTGGGATTCCGTGAGTCAGGAGGTGAAGGCTAAAGCAAAGAGTAAGTGGCTGGAGTGTTGAAGATATGCCCCAACACACACACACACAGCCCCCAGGCAAGGGCTAGGGGACTTACTGGTTCAAATCATTTAAGGAAATCTCTGTTCAATCACCAGATGACCAGGAAGCTAATGGTAGTCACACATAAGAAATAATACACTTTACAGAATTGGTCTAGGAAAGTCACTAAAACAAAAAGCAGCAACATCCACAAACCCTTAAGAGGGAAGGGTTTGATTTCCAGAGTTATCACATCATATTATTTAAAATGTTTAGTTTTCAACAAAGTTATGAGATACATAAAGAGACAGAAAAAAGTGGCCTCCGTGCAGAGGAAACTAAGCAGCCAAAGTAGTCACTGAGGGGGCCCAGATGCTGCACTTACAAGACAAAGATCTGACATCAGCTATTATAATTATGTTCA